ACACACACACACTATTTCTGTCAGATAAATTACTATTTCAAAAATTATATCAAGCCATATCACAATTTCGGTTTTTATTAATTGTGCATTCCTAGATGTTGTAGAAGTTTGTGAATGATGCGTGTTTGGATTCTGCAGACTTCTCTGGATGCCCATTCTGTGTGGGCCTGCCCATCGGTCCTTTAATCAAACTTAGTTTACTTTATAATGTCCATTTGATCCATGACATCTCAGAAACTCCCCATCCTCCTCAGAAACAGATGCATGGAGAGACAAGGAGCCATGGAGCCACTGACCAGAATCCCTCGATCAGATCAGTGACTGTGTCTGCTGCAGTGGCATTTCCCATCTAATTGGGCGCCACGTTCAGGCGATGAGTGTTTCACCAACAGTATGAAAGTGGCCTGGGCACGTCCCCTCACAGATGATAATGCAGCCGAGCAGTTTGCGGTCAGAGGCACAGGGCAGAGCTTCGTTTAGGAATTGGATGTTAATTGATTTGATAATTCCCTGTGGTCTTTCCTCTTACGGGCTCGCGTCTCTCTCGATCGGCCTCCTTGCCTCTCACTGGCCACAGCAGGCTGCTGGGTGTTAGACCTGCTCTCCAATTAGCATCTAATCGACACTTCCGAGTCTACCTACCTCACATTAACACCTCTTCACTGGCCTCTTTTGGTCCAGGAAAGTGGATTTTACAGATTTCGCCAGAAATCCCTCACTCATGGCCTGGCATTAATGACTGGCTTGAACTCTCGCGCACTGGCTCTCATCTGCATGTCATTGCCAGCTCGACTGTTGATGAGGAATGTTAACTGGTAATCTCTTTGGCAGATGTCTGAGTGTATTAGATTTATCCCTCAGCTGTTCCTTGAAGGTGTGGCCATAATTGTTAGTGAGTTACTCACACACGGATGATTCCTGAACCAAATTGATTGCTCTTGATGCTTTGGCTTTTCTGTTCCACTAAACACTCTTAACAAATAAAGTTTCCAAAAGGGGGTTTTTGTAATGATGCCATAGAATAATCATTTTGGGTTCCCCAAAGAACCTTTCAGTGTACAGTTCTTAACCTGTTGAGCGGTACGGTCCCACATATGGGATTTTTATTTCCATGCCCCTGGGAGTACGGTCCCACATATGGGATTTAGAATGTTCGGTGACGTCACATAACTGCCAAATTCAAACTGCGTTTTCGCACTTTGGCTGACGCTGAGACGCCGCTGCACTTGTCATATAATCACAACTATGCAGTGTTTTTAACCACATAATGTTTATTTTAGGTTTCAGACATTTAAATACATATAAGTACTAGTAAAACAATACATTTAGAGTTCGTAAAATACACACAAATGTTTATGGAAGCAGCAATAATAATCCATTCAAATATAATTTGCAGACGAGTTTTATTAATATCAGATACACATGATGTAAGTAACTATAAAGTTCACTCTATTCTTCTCCCAGTTCACCGGCCACTTACTTACATGTATTTCGGGAGAAATTGATGAATTTAC